TTTTTGTCGTTAATGAATATCAGCTGGGTACATATGCTTGTATGTAAAACATCCTAAAGCATTTCCTTGACAAATGATTTTACCAGTTCAATTGTAAACTGATACTGTTATGGGAAAAAAACAGAACAGAATCATGACAGAATGGCAGTCAAGAATAGAAAAGAAAAAAATGTTCCATGGCTGCTGCACCCATTACAAACATTGTTAACTTTGTTGGTTGTGTTTGTTTGTCTTGCTCTGCTATTTATACTTTCAATTGCAAGAATGTCTTGCATTCCAGCAGTAAGGAATACATCTCAATATCTCTCCCTCCCACCCACCCACCCACACAGCCCCACCCCCTTTCTTCCCCGCCTTAACCTTCCCCGTGGTGTGAGAACGCCCCCGAACACCGGAACCAAAATGGCACTGTCGGAAGAGTTATGGCGTCCGAGTCAGGGGCACGTTTAATATGTGTATTATCTCCCCTGCGATCCTGTGCCGCACAGATGTCATCTTCCTCCCCGCACGTGCAAGGACAACGGTAGCGTATCGCTCCCGCGCCCGATCCCGGGGCTGAGTTCATTACATGCATCTCACTCACCATCTCCTTTCCTTGCCACTTCACAACAAATGCTTTATTTTCTCATAGCTCCTTCTCCTGTCCCCAGTAATTATCCCCTACGCCACCTTTTTTCCCTCACCCTTTTCCTCAATCGCCTCCCTGTCCCGATATTCTTTTCATTGTTTATGCGTCCCTTTTCCCATTTTTAGATCGGTATTTGTTCTTCCCTTCAGTTTCAACGTCTCCAGATATGAATTTGTAGGCTGCTGCTTCTTCTTTAGTATTGTACGTACCAGACCACAGTTCAAAGGTGCATAATTCGACCCCTGCCAGTTAACATAATCTGAGCATCAAACGTTGCAGAGTTGTAGCGTGGGCAGCGTCGTCACTACTATCCCCGTAACTTGCAGACAGCAGCAACACCAAAATAAAAGCAGTGGCAGAATTCACACATTTGCGTACCCCC